GAAGTATATATATATATATATATATATATATATATATATATATATATATATATTAGTAAATAAAGAGAGATGAAGTCTGTTTTATATTAATTTATTTGAGGTTTCAATAAATAGGTTCATATTTGCTTTTTTCCTTTCATTGTACATTTTTTGTTTGGCTGTGCCGTAAACTTATTTGACTTTTATTTACAATTTATTGAACATTTCCACCTATGTAAAATTAGTTTTTTTTTTTTTTTTAAGAATATAAAATAAAGGTTGTATGCATGAAAATACAAGGTATGCAAACAGCTTTGCTTGTTGTTCTTTTACGTTTGTGCAAAAATAGTTTGTGGAAAATAGTAAATTCTGGTTTTGGAGGGAAAACTATATTGAGGTATCTATTCAAGTACTTCACTCAAAACACTAGCTTGCTCTATTCTTTTTCCTATTCTATCTGTTTTCTTTTTATTTATTATATAATTTAAAACCCTTGCTACGTGTTCTACGTTAAGCTAACTGAGACTTGTTATAGCACTTGCGTATCTTTGCTCTTTTGTTGATTTTGATTGCTTCCATTGTCCTCATTTGTAAGTCGCTTTGGATAAAAGTGTCTGCTAAATGTCTGTGTAAATAGGGCCTTTCGCACCGCTTTAGTTCCAGAACTAAATGTACAGTACTCCACGCATTCATCCCATCGCCGAAGATCCCAAGGTAAAAAGAGGTAGAGGAAGACCACGCAAGTACGGTGCCAAATCCAGTTCGCAAAGTGGCAGAGCCAAACAAGCTGGTGTCGAAATCAGCCTTGATGCCGCCAACGGTTCTCCACGAAAGAGAGGGAGGCCAGCGGGCTCGTTGAAGAGAAAGAGGGGTCGTCCTGCAGGTTCTACCAAGGTTGCCAAGATCGCCAGGGCCTCAGATGGAACCCCAAAAAGGAGAGGCCGCCCTCCAGGCTCTCCCAACAAGGTGAAGAAGATTCAGCAGGCTGACGGATCTCCTCGCAAGAGGGGCCGTCCCCCAGGCTCTGGCACCAAACTGAAGGTCATTCAACGAATCACCGACGGAACTCCTCGCAAGAGAGGCCGGCCTCCAGGTTCTGGCAAAAAGGTCAAGATTGTCGAAAAGAAAGTCGGAGACACTCCCCGCAAGAGAGGCCGACCTCCAGGTACCGGAAAAGTCAAGGCACGTGCCGCAGAAGGTGGAGAGATGGGAGGTGAGAACGCCGATGGCGCCGCTCCACGTCGTAAGAGAGGACGTCCAAGCAAAGTCAGACTTGCAGTCGTGCTCGAAAAACTCCCCACGGCATCAGCGGAGGAAGACGAAGAGGAGACTGACGCACCCTCTCCCAAACAATCCCGCACCTCTGATGATTCGTCGCAAAATCCAAACGATGATGATGAAGACACCAGGGCGAGCGAGAACGACGCAGACCCAGAAGACGAAGAAGATGATGACGATGACGCCATTGATTGTTCAAAAGTAAACAACACGAGCGAGAACGAGATAGTGGGCAAATTAAAAAAAAAGAAATGAAGAGATAAGGGGCTTCGTTGAAAATTGGTGGGTATATTTTTCGAAGGGTTTTAATAGGCTATGTCAATAATTTTTTTATTTTTTTTTTAATTTTTTTAATCTGACAAAGTGTGCTTTTGATGTTGCCTGTCATGCCAGACTGTATTATTATTTTTTTTTTTCTCTCTTTTATTTTGAAGCTCATTAACCGAAATGTTTGCTAGCAGTATGATTGAGCACAATTGTTTTTTTTGTTTTGTTTTTGCATGGGGAAAAAAGATATTTTGTCTGCATAATAATTAAGCATGCAAACTCGAAGGACAGGTATGTAGCCTGTTAACATCATGGGATCCAAAAAGATGATGCACAATTAACGGTTCCATTGAAAACGTTATCATGCTAAGCACACCTTATTGGTTACCAATGACTTGTGCCAATAATTTCAGAGCAACTACCAAACCAGACCGTTTCAGATGTAGTATAGTATCCTCATACCTGTGCAGTAGTCCGTGTGCACAGGATTTTAAGATACTCAAGGCTAATTTTTAAAATTTAAATTGCCCAGATGGTTTTTAGTCAACGTAGTAGTGGCTGTGAAAATCTGCTTTTTCGAGGATGACGGTTAAGTGCGTCTTTTGCTGTAGTTTTATTTCTTTGATCATCGTCGGTTCATTCATACTTAAACTGTAAAATCAGTCCCGCCGAGTTCAGTGTTTTATAGTGAAACAGTCTTATTTTATGCTTCGTATCATCAGATCTTTGTCTGATAGTTCGGTCATATATAGGTGTTGAGTGCTTAGTTTACGACAACCCCTCATTTTTGCTAAAATATTGTGATTGCTTCGTTTTTAAGACATGCCGTTGTTTTTCAAAATGTGAATACATACAAAATTCTGCTTCGACAGTAGGCTCATGGGTCCTGGTTTTTAATTTTCATATCATTTATGGCTTTTTATATTTCTTGTTGCGCCTGTCTTTTTTAGCTTTTTTCATGTAAGCTTTTTTTTTTTCTCCTTGATTTGTTTAGTTTGTGTAAAAGCGTAGACTTCTCTTGCTATAAACCGTAGATCTTGTCTTGATTAATTTTCATGTATGATTTAGCTTGAATCTGTATGTACCAGTAGATGCTGAAAACAGATTGTTTTAGCTGAGAACTTGCATCTAGAAATGTTCTTTCATGTTAATAAGACAGTTACTGTTCAGACATGATTGTTCAATAGACATGAAGTGCATTTCATGCTGTAGTACGAAACAGTTCTGTATCACCGCTTTGTATGATTCATTTCACTTTGTGATTTGGATGAGCATTGTTGCTGATTAATAACCAATTAAATCATACCATATTCACCAAGTCTACTTGTGCTCTTCATTTACTACAGTTGCATGTGATGTGAACTGTTCCAACTCTCTTTTCAGAGGTAACTGCTTCCGTATCCCCACCCGCTCACAAAAAAAAAACTACACGGGAGGAGCGAGAAACAGCATCAGCACTTTATTAGAATCAGCACATGGTGGGCAAGCAGACATGCTTTAAAATGAACCACGAGTAAGCAGCTTGGCTCCAAATGCTCAGGGACAGGAACTTACTTTATGCATCTCTGCAGCGCATATTTACAAATGAATAGGTTGCATAAAACACAATGTAGTCAGGTTTTTTTTTTTTTAAGGGAATAACATTCACTGCCCTGCATTAGGTTTGCAGTTTGGGTTAATGCTGAATGTAGGCGATATTATTCACACAAAATGATCTTGCATTAAATTCCACATCAACGAGCAAATTGTCATCGTTTTAGGTGCTGGACAATATGTCCGTAATACCCCAAAAATGTCCAGTTAAACCTACAATCACTATAATGAAGGTGGTTAAAGTGCCCATGTATATTTTACACAAACACATGCAGAGGTACATCCCTGAACATTGTCTCCAGTGCTGATTAGGTATCTGCTCCCACACTGAATCCCAAATATTTACAAATACATTAAACTAGTCACATTATTATTTCTCTTTCATTTTGCATATCAGCAGTAGTTCATTCAACCCAACGACATCATGTTGCTAGTAAAGTCAGGAGGTGCAAGGGGTTAATATAATCAGGATCTGAATTTCACCATTGATTTTACCAATTTTTTAATAGTCACATTTATATTATCAATACATAAATCAAAATAAATTGCATTTGTGACCACACTTGTCACAATAATCTTGAATCTATAAATAACAAAAATCTACTTTAAAATATTTTATATTGTGATCACTGCTGTAATGTTAGATCTTCCTTTTACACCACATCTTACCATTAGTTACATTTTTTCATCCCTGTTTTTTCCGTCCAGATCTGGCTGACATTGACGTCAAAGTCATTACATCAAACAGCAAAAGTGACGATCTGTCATCAGATATTCCCCTCAAGTCGACTGCAGATGCTTAAAACATCCTACAATCTTTCTCGTATGCTTTTTAAACATTTTAAATCTTAAAATGAATTATAAAAATTGCGCCATCTATGTTTTAGAAGGAATTAACATCCTAAATCAATAGTCAATTTCAGACATTTAATTCACACATAGTCTTTGCTGCTCTAAAACCATTCAGGTCTATAAAGGTCCATATTAAGAAGTGAAAACAAGTTGCTTCTAGGAGTCTATATGTGGAGGAGGGTAAAAACAATTCTAAAAAATATTCCTGTAATTGCTCATTGCAGTTGCACGTTGTTAATACTCTAACGATAGGACCACAGCTGTTGTTTCTGGGTAAACTAGTACACTTTGGCTTCTATGCATAAATGCATGATTTGATCCTAATCTCAAACTTAACTGAAGTTTGCGTTTCATTTTCCCTCTTTAGTTATTCATGGGTTCATTTGGACCAGCGCTACAGATCTATATTATTGCATCACCCATTCTTTTTTATTCTTTTTTGGCCTGAAAAGGGCCAACACATTCTCCAATCTAAACCCATAAGTAGATATTCCTAACCGAAGGAGTTTTTGAGTAAGCTCGGGCACTGTTGCAAAGCACTCAAGAGAGGTACAAAGAAATGCAGTGACAGACAAAGGGAGGGAGAGGCACTGCGTCAATGACTGCACACACACACACACTGTGGATTCAATGAAAGGCATTGGTGGAGAGAGAAGGACGGGTTGAGTTCACACAAAGCCAGAGTCTCCTGTCCTTGTGCATCCCACGAGAGGCTCAGTAGTAGAAGTACACTGTCGTAAAAGACAAGGAAAGAGAAATAAATCATTGCAATTGATTAGTCCATGCTGATTCAGGATTAAATTGATCTTTTATATTTGATGCATATACTAACTAGGCCTTAGTTTATCTTTGTAAGAGCAGCTGATCTTTGATTAGAATTTAAGTTGCAGCTGCAACACAAGATTTGTTTTTCTTAACTATATCATTACATGTTAGCCTTTATATGCCTAAAATTCATTGTGGCAAGGTGGCAAAACATCCTACGGTGGAGTAAAACTAAATACGAAAAACAAGTAAATAAACCAACAATGATTAGTGTTTGTAAAATAAAATAAGTTTCTACTCACTGAAAACGATGCCCATCAAGATGACCCCAATAATTCCCATCATTATCATCATCTGTGAAAGAAAAAGAAAAACAAATCCATAAACATAATGCTAATGAGTCAATTCTGTTTGAGAAATAAGATTGCATGAACAACTACAACTACTTAACTGCTAATTCTGCTAATAATGATTATACAGTTGGCTTTTCTAATCTCATATTAAGTATGTGGAATATTTATACTTTTCACTTTTCATTTGTCACACCGCAGGACTATCTAAAATGAAGACATAAAAATCGACCCACAGGAATGTGGCTGCATTAAGCGTCAATATTTCTCTCACAAGTATACACTTCACTGAAAAATACAGAGTAAAGTTCCAAAAAGAAAGCCAGCAGTAAGAGTAAAGAAATGCAAAAAGGAAAGAGAATAAAACAGGACAGAATGAGAGAGATTACAAGTGGGACGTTTCAATAAAAGAAATCTACATGGAATAAGAAAGAGATATGGAAAAGGGAATGAGGCAGGAGGAGCTAAAAAGAGAGAGCGCAAAGAGAATGATTAGAGCGGGTTACATCACAAATCACATCTGGGTTTTAATCCAGAAATGCTGTAATCCAGATTGGGACTAGAAACCCCCTCCCCCAACTCCCACTCAGAGATGCGATTGGACGGGCAGCTGTTCGGCCATCTGGGGTGGGCGGTGGGGGGTTGGTGAGGGACTAATAAATTTATGCTGTCTGGAGGGGAGGAGAATGAGGGGGAGCTTATAAATCTACACCGAGCGGATGGACTGACGGATAGCTGGATGGAGAGATAAAAATGTAATATGTAAAGTGAGGCTGTCAGATGGACCAATGCAGTACAAGAAGATGTTCACAACACATCTGAAGTGTCTCTTCTTTCAAAGCAAGACATTTTCTTACTAAGAAAAAAGGAATAAATTGAATTATATATGAATTCCTCATTTATTATTTAAAACGATTTAAATGAACTGTGTATTTGTATCCATGCCATGCTCTAAAAAGTCCCTTCTATTAATAGATGATCAATGGAATTATTTGGGCAATTAGAAAGTAAAAAATGAAACAAGATGGTAACCGTCTGATGGTTGGGATTGTCCGTACGTCTCAGGAGTAGCTGGACTCACTCTGCAGCTTACATCACAACTGCAACTTGCCTAATATATCTCAAACGCTCGCCAGCCAGTGCTGTGACTTATGGGCTGGACTGCATTCAGGTTATATCCAAATGAGAATGCTTCTGCTTTAGTGTTGAGTCAGCTTTGCCCCATGAGCCATCTTTACTGCTGGCAATATAGAAACACCGAAGGAGGCACTATACTGTAGAAAATGATTTTTCAAAGTTGGAATTGAAAAAGAGTTCGTTTAATAAGAAAATGCTATGATGTTTAATTCAATGTCACTTGCCAATTCTTTGTAATCAATTGTGAAACTTACTAGCAATTTCTGTGAAAAATGTTTATACACCATTTATTTTCAGTGTATTCATTGTATTAATTTATATATTTATCAATTATATATACTAATTTTCTATCTATATTGAGACTAATATAATAATTTAGTGAACTACAAAATCTAAAGCCAAAAAGTATCCTTCATAAAACTATTCTTATGTAAATGTAAAGTGAATGTGACAGTTTACATAAGAATGGTTTTACAGCTGATTTACATTAGGCTACAAATACATTTCTTGAATTAGGTGAGATGTGTATTTGTATTCAGTGATTTCATTTGAACGTGAATTTAAATATGTATCGTAAAGTAATTGAAACAAAATAGGACCTGAGAACAAGGACTCTAGATGTAAATAAACCAAACCCAGCATCTACAGTCAAATCGCACCTTCATATTCTTCCACCAGTACTTGTTTTTCAGTTTAGCAGCGCTGCTCTCAAACTGCGATGCTCCGGCCTGCAGCGCGTCTGCCCGGTCGTCCAGTTCTGATAGCTTCTGATCTCTTTCCAGAACCTTGTCCACATTCACACGCATGATATCAACCACCTGAAAACATATGCAAAATATAGACACAGCAACTTAGCATCTAAGAAATCAGCAACATAACATCATCATTGCATTGCATCAGTAAGATTCAATGTGAAACTGAAAGACAATTTTTTATAGAAATTACGGAATATCTTCATAGACACTTAACAGTGGAAGCAATATTAGGATGAATATTGCATGAGAGACTGACTAGTACCTCAAAATTTGACTGCATGAAAATGTTATGGTTCCAAGAAAGTCCATCTAAGAGTCCATCTAGCTTTGATAAATTTCAGTCTGCCCCTTTAATCTTACTTCCTCACTGTTATAATTAACATTTTTACTAATATATGTCACAACCAATATATTAAAAGCCATAAAAATATACTGATCAGAACATAATATAAACTTGAAAAAGTGCAGTATTTAGTAGCTTTCCTTGAACCATAGGCCTGTACTCAAAGTTCAATGTACACCTTCTCCCTAAATTTTATTCATAATAACCTTTTTTTTATTTCTACATATTAATCTTTTTTTTAAAGTCATGATTCACCTAGTCCAGCATAGTATTTGAGTTCATATTGGTAGGGTTTACCTCATCCACTTGGGCCTGTGTCTGCTGGAGACGACGGTTGCTGGTGAGGTTGGGAGGGGCGGGTGGGCCCCCTTCACCCTCTGGGGAT